AGCTCTTCCTCCGCCTTGTCCACCACCCCGTCTGCCTCACTCTCGTCGGCCCCCAGTGTGATGTCGTCCATGAAGGCTTGTATGAGGGCGCGTGGAAAGCTGGCTTGGATGGCCTTGAGTACTGGCTGGAGGGCCAGACAGAAGAGGAAGGGGCCGGCCGGGTCTCCTTGCTGATTGCCTTGCTGGCTCAGGATGGTCCTCACTCTGCCGTCTGCGAGTCGATACCACAGCTTCGCCGGCTCTCCATAGAACTGCCAGAGAAAGTGAAAGAGCTCAGGGAACTGGCTGGCGAGCTCGTTGACGATCGCCTGACGGTCCACCTCGTTGAAGGCGTTCGTGCAATCCAGCCCCATGAGCAGTTTCTCTTCGCCCTCCCTCCGGCTCTGGATGAAGGTCTCGGCGGCCTTGAGGAGCTTCTCGTTGCCCGCTGGGGTGCCGACTGCACACTGGAGAGGGGCGAAGTAGGCGGCCATTTTGTTCTTGTGCTGCATGCATACTGCTCTCGTCACCGCACTGCATCCCCCACCGCCACCGGCCGCACCTTGCCGGGCCCTTTCGTCAGCGCCACCAGGTTCGCGGTGTCGAGCAGCTTGGTGACAAGCTGTGGGAGCTTCGCGCTCAGCAGCCGTCTGATGACCTTGGGGAAAGGGATGCGCTCCTCTCCCTGCCGGAGCCCTTGCTTCGACAAGTTGAGGTAGCCCAGCAGATGCTCGAACCGCCAGCCGGACAGCCCTGATGCAGCGCCTTTTGCTGCTGAGCGGAGTGCCTTCGCGAGCATCTTGGGTGGGACGTCGAATGCCTCGGGCTTCACGTTGACGTCTGGCTTGGTGACGGGCGTGTTGCGTGAGGGGTGGAGGGCTTGCAGCTTGGCGTATGTCTCCTTCGTGGCTGGGGCGACTGGGGTGAAGTCCAGCTTCTTGGCCGCTCGTGTGAATTCCTCAAGCTCCACTAGCCGCTTGGCTGTCATGAACGCCCTCTGCGTTGTCGTGTCGTGGGTGGGGTGGGCGGGTGTGGGGTGGATGGCCGGTGTCGTCTCGGTGCTCTTTGGTGCGAAATCGGCCCCCTCTCGTAGCAGCAGCTCCCATTCCCCCTCCCAAAACAGCCGAAATCTCCGCTCCCACTTTCTCCTCCCTTCCGCCTCTCCTCTCTTGGTTGGGAACTGCAGTAGCGAGGGGATGTACGGAAACAGGAGGCACCCGTCGTCCAGCTGGTTGGTATCGCCATCGAGGCTGACCAGCACGTCTGCCGCCTCCATCACGTCAGCCAGGTCGATCCTTGCCTGTGGGG